CGTTTTTTTTAAAAACTGGGGTTGGGGAGATTTGAAGGAGAGGTCTTTTTTCTCCGGGGAGTTAGGAGCTAAAGGTCACCTCAAGGGGCCTGGGGAGATGTGAGGGGGTTTGGAGATGGGGGAAGAGGCTTTGCAGGGGGGTGCAGTCGCTCTCATGTGAGGAGGCTGTGGGTGGGGGGGTGCAACGGCCCAGCAGTGAGGTGCACCCCGCCCTGTAAAAGGGGCAGTTGTTCAAGTATGGGAGGGCATCAAGTAAGAAAGTTAAGGGTGAAGATCGAGGTGGGAAAATCGCTTCTCTGTTCTCGGATGAATTACTTCGGGCCAGGAAGTAAGGGTACAAAGCCCTGCTAATGAAGGTAAGCGCTTTTGGGTTGGTGCTCTCAGGTAAGATATGTTGACCGTGCTTTTTGTAATAGGAATAAAAGATGAAGATAGAGTGTGTTCCGGGAGCGGGGTGTTGGGGACTTTGTCAACGGGCTGGATAATATCATGTGGTAATGGGAACAAGCCTTTACTGTTCATGCTGGGGGAAATGATTTTGGGGAAGGGTAGGAGAGAGGCTGTAGATAAGTACAGGTCAGCTAAAATTTTCTTTTAAGTCAAAGGGGGGGAACCAATTAAAGTACACTTGCCTAGAAGGGATAGGAATGAAGGGTTTGTTAGGGAAATTGGGTAAATTGCTGGAGAAGAACTGCAAGGAACTTGCAATCCCATTCATTGACAACTGGAACAACTTTTATGGAAAACAGATATGTATGGGGGGTGGGGGTACTCTCTCTGGGCAGGGGTGGTAGCATTGCAGACTCGATTGAGAAGGCCAGGGGTGAAAGCATGATTTTAAACTGATGGAAATAGGGGTATGGTGTTTGGGGAAACAAGCAGGTTGCAAATGGGGTTTGGAAACAGAAAATGTATAAAAGGCATTCAGCATGAAGTTTAAAAAAAGAAAATAGAACAGGTCAGCAAAAAAAGGGGGGACAGCAGAGGGCGAAAGGGGCTAGCCCCCTTTAAAGGTTTACTAACTAATACAGGAGTGTTAGAAAAAAATGATGAGCTAAAATTAAATTGAAAAGTGCGGGAAACATAGATATTATTGCTATAACAGGACCTGGCTCAATCTGAAAGTAAGAGATCCCCCTCTAAAGTCACATACAAGGCTATAAATTATCCACACTGAAGGGTAAAAGGGAAAAGGGTGGGGGTAGCGATGTATGTAGAGACAATTAAATTTTGTGTTAACAAGATATTAAATTGAAGCGTACCACTGAATCTGTTTGGTTACACTTCTCGAGGGCCCAGAAAAAACTAATCTTGGGTTTTGATTTTCAGGGGGCCCCCAAAACTTTATAGGGAGTGCATAAAATTCTAGGGACGAAATTCGTAAGGCTTACATACGAAAATGTTGTGCTAATGGAGATTTTAACTATAGACAATTGACTGGAGCAATTTGACAGGAAAATTTTGAGTCGGGGGGGCTTTTTTGATTTGATCCAGGATTGTTTTTTAAAACGTTTTTTGACGAGCCAAAGGGGAAAAAACCTCCCCTTTACTTTTTCTTTCCGAGGGAAACATAATTAATAATCTTGGTTAATGTGAGCTTTGGGGGAGTGTCAAAATCACTCGTTTTTAAATTTATGGAATTCCCCTAATAAAGGCAATCAAAATCTCCGTCCCTGACTTTCGTTGCTGATTTATAGGGCTGAAAAAATTTCTTAGGTGGGCTGAAAATGGGAAAGACCTGACTAAGGGTCAGGTAGGGTGATGGTTGCCGAATAGCTTTCCCGGGGATAGTTTTAGCGCAGTCAAAATTTTTCCAAAAGGGAAATCAATCAAACAAAAAAGACCTAAAGGAAGAACAATAGATTTAAAATATCTGATTGGTTTAAAAGAGAGGGGATATAGGAAATCAAAAAGGGAGAGGGGGAATTAAGAAACGATAATTTGTTAAAGAGAGAAAAAAAAAAGGGAATAGAAAAGCAAAAAGAGATTATAGGTTAAAGTTGCAAGAGAAACGAAGCTAAACCAAAAGGATTCTTTCGGGATACAGAAGTAAATCAGGGGCAAAATGGCCCCCTCAAAATTCCCCGGGTCAGCTCACGGGCAGTGTAAGGAAAAGGTAGAATTTTTAACACAATTCTCTCAGTTTTTTACACAGGGGAACCCGTGATATTCCAGAAGATAAATTATGTAGAACAGGCGATAATAAACTGTGCCTTTAGGGTAAAGTGAATGGTCCTTAGGCAAAAAGATAAATTAAAAAACCCAACAAATCCCCAGGCCTGATGAACTGATGCAAGGGTTCTAAAGGAATGTAAAAAGGGGGCTTGCACACCTTTGGGTAATCTTTTCAAAATACACTACAAAAAGGCAGGTGCCAGTAAGTGGAAATGGGAAAAGTGATCCTATTTTCAAAACGGTGACAGGCCTTTGCTTTGAACATAGACCAAAAAAGCCTAACCCCATAGTGGGAAAATTTATGGGAAACAAAAAATTTCCGAGGGGAGTTCTAGCCACCTTTAAAACATAATTAATAACGAATCTCAGATGGTTTTACAAAGGGGCGTTCCCGCCTTTCGAATTTTTTTAAAATTTTTTCACAAGGATTTTTGGGGGGTAGATCATGGTAATGAATATGTATTGTGTATAGGACTTAGTAAGGCTTTTGACAGGGTCCCCCCATCAGAGATATTTGGGAAAAATTAAAGACATGGAATAGGAGGAGAAATTTTTTCCTGGATAGAGCATGGTTTCAAATAGGCAGCAGAGAGTTTTCATAAATGGGAGAATCAGAGTGGGGAAGGTCACAGCGGTGTTCCACAGGGGGCAGTGTTGGGCCCCCTGCTGTTCACAATCTACATAAACGACATAGATGAGGGCATAAGAGCGACATCGGCAAGTTTGCCGATGACACCAAATAGGCCGTCGAATTCATTCTGACGAGGACATTCGAGCACTCCAGGAAGATTTGAATAGACTGATGCAGTGGTCGGAGAAGTGGCAGATGCAGTTTAATATAGACAAATGCAAAGTTCTAAATGTTGGACAGGACAATAACCATGCCACATATAAACTAAATAATGTAGATCTTAATATTACGGATTGCGAAAAGATTTAGGAGTTCTGGTTAGCAGTAATCTGAAACCAAGACAACAGTGCATAAGTGTTCGCAATAAAGCTAATAGAATCCTTGGCTTCATATCAAGAAGCATAAATAATAGGAGTCCTCAGGTTGTTCTTCAACTCTATACATCCTTGGTTAGGCCTCATTTAGATTATGCTGCACAGTTTTGGTCACCGTATTACAGAATGGATATAAATTCTCTGGAAAATGTACAAAGGAGGATGACAAAGATGATCCATGTATCAAAAACCTTCCCTATGAGGATAGACTAAGGGCCCTGAAACTGCACTCTCTAGAAAGACGTGGAATTAGGGGGGATATGATTGAGGTGTATAAGTGGAAGACAGGAATAAATAAAGGGGATGTAAATAGTGTGCTGAAAATATCTAGCCTAGACAGGACTCGCAGCAATGGTTTTAAGTTGGAAAAATTCAGATTCAGGAAGGATATAGGAAAGTACTGGTTTGGTAATAGAGTTGTGGATGAGTGGAACAAACTCCCAAGTACCGTTATAGAGGCCAGAACGTTGTGTTAGCTTTAAAAATAGGTTGGATAAATACATGAGTAGATGTGGGTGGGTGTGAGTTAGACCTGATAGCTTGTGCTAACAGGTCGGTTGCCGTGTTCCTCCCTTAAGTCAATGTGACCTGACCTGACTAGGTTGGGTGCATTGGCTTTAAGCCGGTAGGAGACTTGGACCTGCCTCGCATGGGCCAGTAGGCCTTCTGCAGTGTTCCTTCGTTCTTATGTTCTTATGTTCTTATTCTCCCGGCCCGGGCCCTTCCAAGTGGTGGCCCGGCACTGGCTCCCTGTCTAGGGAGTGTCTGAGACCTAAGTCTCCCGTGGGAGGAGGCACAAGTACCCCCCCCTCATCATGTGAGCTACAAACTCGGGCTCTGGCACCAACCCTGCCCTAGATTGATGGACTGAACACATCGACTCAAGGTTGAGGGACTGATTACCTCATTCTCCTCCTGTTCTTCAAGTTTCTCCTATGTATGGACTGATGAAACCACTGTGTGGCGAAACGTTTCCTCAATAAAGATACCCAAGAGTTGCACATGTGTCTAATTTATCACTTCTATATAGGCGGAGAGTGAGGTGCGAGTGACATGGTGACCTGAAGAATGACATAATGAGATGATCACAGGTAGACAATGTAATCACGTGACTCCTGTGTTGCTGGGTAGGTGGTGTTTTGCCTGGTTGCGTATCATGTATGTTAATATTTTAGAAATATTGTAGTTTCCAGTATTGTTCTATGGTGAAATTAAGACACATGTGCAACTCTGGGTATCTTATTAGAGACGTTTCGCCATCCAGTGGCTTTATCAATACAAATTCCAGGGCATAACTTGAAGACAGTAGAACTATATACAGAAGATGAGGTAATCAGTCCATCAACCTTGGAGTTGAGTGAAGGTTATGTACATGTCCTCAGAATCAAGATTGTACAACTTGTCAGACACTGCAGCATCATGGGATCTTGATTCTGAGGACATGTACATAACCTTCACGACTACGACAACTACTACTACTACAACTAACCCATCTCTTTGGGAAAGGACCTACTTCCACTGGGGAATCCCGCCTACCAGTGACTATGCCCTCGTCTGCTACACCTGACGTTACTATATAAGCGCGAGGCTCCTTGCTTCTGCTTCAGAATCTCCAAGACTACGGTGCTCTTCGCACCTACTCCAAGGTTGAGGGACTGATTACCTCATCTTCTGTATATAGTTCTACTGTCTTCAAGTTATGTCCTAGAATTTGTATTGATAAAGCCACTGGATGGCGAAACGTCTACAATAAAGATACTCAGATGTTGCACATGTGTCTTAATTTCATCTTGTCGGTATTGTATACCATTCTTGCACACATTGTTCTATGGTGTCAGTGACGGTGATCAGTGAGGCTTCCAGACATCGTCGACGTCTAAGATCTCGTTCGGCGAGAACGAACTGTGCCTCATCCCAATTCATCAAAAGTCCCATGGAGTCCTTGTGGAGGACACAGTGTACCTTCTTAATCATCCCTGTTGCTGGAGTTTTGATGTTCGTTCGAAAATCCTAACAAAAAAGATGGTATTTGATTCTCGGGCAGTCCATATCGAATATTTGTGTTACTGTGTCTAAAAGCCTCGCTGATCACCGTCACCGACACCATAGTACATAACGCTGAAAAAACCACAAAATTTCTAAGATATTCAACCAGGTCAAGCACCACCTACCCAGCAACACAGGAGTCACTTCTAACATACAGAGGTTTGACTGACTGATTCGTCAGGAACTGCGTCCTGACACGAGTCTTACTCCTAAAATGACCGGTCTGAGGATCTCTAAAGAGATGTCAATCTAATTCAGTTGTTCTGTGGCTGTGATCAGGGTCTTGCTGGAGTCCCTGTGTGTTCCACTGCAAAACATTTTATGAAGATTGAGACACTTATGCAACATATGGGAATCTTTATTCAGGAAACGTTTCGCCACACAATGGCTTCATCAGTCCAATACAAAGTAGAAAGGCGTAAGGAGAGGAGGAGTTTGAGGTAATCAGTCCCTCAGCCTGGAGTCGATGTGTTCAGTCCATCAGTCTTGTAGAAGATTGGTGGACTGAACACATCGACTGTGTCTCAATCTTCAACTTGTCGGTTTTTCAAACCATTCATTAAAACATTTTGTTTTATGTACTACAGGAGACTGAGGCCATCAGGACTCTCATCAGTATCTGGGCCCTGTGTTTGATGGTCACGTAAATTTGACAACAAACGCTTGGGCTCTTTTGACCATCATGTATGTGTTCACGAAGGTTTTCACAATCATTCTGAATGTCTCTTTGTTTTCCTGTGAATCTATCAGGTCGCTTATGATGTCGGTGAAGCAGGTGATCGTAGACATCATTTGGTGTCTCAGAGGTAATATGAGATGTCCTGGCCTGCTCTCTTGGAGTGGAAAAAAAAGTTTAAAAGGCATTTCATAAAAGGGCGAAGGTGAGGGCATATGTGTTTACTCTATCACCTCCCCCCTATGTAACGTCCTTTTTTAAAGTGATCGAGGTTTTTAGGACCCAAAAATTTTTTTTAAAAAGACTTAAGAAACGTAAAAGACCGATTTGCAAAAAAAACCCTTTTCCCCCCGGGGGAAATTGGGAACCCCCGGTATAAGTTTTCAAAATCCCAAACCCCTCCCCCGTTAGCCCCTAGACCATTTGCCCCCAAAAAATTCATCCAATAGGTATATTTCTCACCATAGGAAGGTTAGCAACGGCCCTTTTTTTGGGCACAATGCCCCGTGCTAACCCTTTCCCTTTTTTTTGGTTTGGTTTGAAAAATTTAAATTTTCCTAGTTGGGTGAATCTTTTTTGTGGCTAATGGTTTTAGTGGGCCCAACGCGCCCGGTTTTGGAGTTTTTTGAGACTCAAAGAACCCCGGGTTTTAATCCCGGCCGGGGGGATGGGGAAATTTTCCCTTTTTTAAAAAATGTTTCCCAGCGTTTTTTTACGTTTTCTTTTTAAATCAGTGACTATTTTTTTTAAAAATTTTTTTAAAACAAACCTATTACTTAAAAAAAAGGTATCCAAAAATTTTTATTTTTTTTTTCACAGCGGCCCCCCTTTCCCCTTTCCGGGGGGGCCCCAGGGCCCGAAAATAGAAAAAAAACCCTTTCAACCTTCATTTAGTCCCCATCACTTTCCGGGACCCTTTTAAATACAAATATCCCCCCCTCTCCCTTAAGTGCCCGGGCCCCTCTATTCCCCCCTCCCGGGCTTTAAGTCCCCGGTAAAACCCCTTGTTTCCCCCGAAACCCTTTTTACAAATGTTATCCCTTTCTTTTCACTCCAACAGTAAAACAAGTCCCCAAAAACCTTTGCCTCCACTCATTTCCCCTTTTAAAAAAAGTTCACAAACGCCCCGCTAGGGTGTCCAACCCCCTCAAACCCCAAAAACCCCCACAAAATTTCCCCCCCCTCCAAGCTTACCCAAATTTTTCCCCTTTATATTTTTTAGACACACCCGAGGGGAGTCCCTAGTGGTAATTCAAAATTTTTTCAAAAAAAAAAAAATTCCCCCTGGGGAAAATTTTCCAGGGGTTTCAGGAAAAAAGACCCAAAAGTTTAAAATTTTCCCTTTCCCAAAACAAATTTAAAAAATTTAAATTTTTTTTTTAAATGTAATTGAAAAAAGGGGCATCCCAAAAATTTTAATTCCCATGAAAGGCCTTTTTTAAGGTCCTCAAAATTTGAGATGTAATTTTTTTAGTTTGGGAAAATAGAAAAAAAAACTCTATGTACGTTGGGAAGGCTGTAAGTAAGGAAACTTAGTTTTTGGGGGTTTTTTGGAAATTTAAATTTTTCTTGAAAAAAAATTTTATATAAGAAAAATAAAGAAGAAAGGGAAAACTGCAGAGGGCCCATTTTCCCATCGAGGAGGCCCAAATTTTCCCACCGGGTTAAACCAAAAGCTTAACCCTAACACAGACAAGATGAAGAATTAGACACATGTCCCCATCTGGATATCTATTGGTTTAGACGTTTAAGATAAGATAAGATAAGATAAGATTTCGTTCGGATTTTTAACCCCGGAGGGTTAGCCACCCAGGATAACCCAAGAAAGTCAGTGCGTCATCGAGGACTGTCTAACTTATTTCCATTGGGGTCCTTAATCTTGTCCCCCAGGATGCGACCCACACCAGTCGACTAACACCCAGGTACCTATTTGCTGCTAGGTGAACAGGACAACAGGTGTAAGGAAACGTGTCGAAATGTTTCCACCCGCCGGGAATCGAACCCAGGCCCTCCGTGTGTGAAGCGGGAGCTTTAGCCACCAGGCCACCGGGCCATCCAGTGGCTTTATCAGTACAAGTTCAAGGACATGATGAGAAAGCTGTAGAACTATATACAGAAGACTAGGTAATCAGTCCCTCAGATACAGAAGACTAGGTAATCAGTCCCTCAGATACGGGAAAAAAGGTAATCAGTCCTCAGATACAGAAGACTAGGTAATCAGTCCCTCAGATACGGAAGACTAGGTAATCAGTCCCTCAGATACAGAAGACTAGGTAATCAGTCCCTCAGATACAGAAGACTAGGTAATCAGTCCCTCAGATACAGAAGACTAGGTAATCAGTCCCTCAGATACGGAAGACTAGGTAATCAGTCCCTCAGATACAGAAGACTAGGTAATCAGTCCCTCAGATACGGAAGACTAGGTAATCAGTCCCTCAGATACAGAAGACTAGGTAATCAGTCCTCAAACAGAAGACTGGGTAATCAGTCCCTCAGATACAGAAGACTAGGTAATCAGTCCCTCAGATACAGAAGACTGGGTAATCAGTCCCTCAGATACAGAAGACTAGGTAATCAGTCCCTCAGATACAGAAGACTGGGTAATCAGTCCCCCAGTACAGAAGACTAGGTAATCAGTCCCTCAGATACAGAAACTAGGTAATCAGTCCCTCAGATACAGAGACTAGGTAATCAGTCCCTAGATACAGAAGACTAGGTAATCAGTCCTCAGATACAGAAAAACTAGGTAATCAGTCCCTCAGATACAGAAGACTAGGTAATCAGTCCCTCAGATACAGAAGACTAGGTAATCAGTCCCTCAGTTTTGGAGGCTGAGGGACACATTACCTCAAGTTTTGTATTAATTCTAGTGTTCTGATTATGTCCTGGAATCTGTATTGATTTAAAACCCCTGGAGGGCGAAACGTCTACAAATAGATATCCAGATGGTGGACATGTGTCTAATTCTTCATTACTGCAAAAGTTCTGGAGTTTTACCTGGAGGAGTTCCGGGGTCAACGCCCCCCCCTGGTGGACCAGAGCCTGATCAACCAGGCTGTTACTGCTGGCTGCACGCAATCCAACGTACGAGCCACAGCCCGGCTGGTCGGGTACGACTTTAGGTGCTTGTTTCCCGTGCCTGCTTGAGGACAGCCAGGGGTCTATTGGTAATCCCCCTTATGTATGCTGGGAGGCAGTTGAACAGTCTCGGCCCTGACACTTATTTTTTGTCTCTTTAACGTGCTATGACACCCTGCTTTTCATTGGGGGGGTGTAGCATCGTCTGCCAAGTCTTTTGCTTTCAAATTTTAAGTTGATTTTCGTGTGCAAGTTCGGTACTAGTCCTCTAGGATTTTCCAGGTGTTTAAAATCTT